TCTAGTAACTTCGATGTACGTTGTTGGAAACCATACCATCTGGGAACCTCGATGATGGCTGAATACTGAAGTTCGTCCTTCCACGCACGCCATCTCTGTAGAATGTCATCAGGAATGACGTCATCCCAGTCGATTTGACGACGCCATAAATCTTGTAAGATAACTTTCGCTTTGACTACGAATGGGTTTTCAAGTCCGAGAGGGTCGAATATACTGCTGATGGCACTGAGAACGCCTCTCTTGGTATCTATGAAGACCCCGTTTGGTGATTTGAGGGAGATAGTGTCCCTTTGAAGAGACCAGATGATGCCTAAAGCTCGTTCTTTAGGCAGTTCGTCACAGTCATCCCTATCATCATTATTATTTTTTCACTTAGAAGTTATTAACCCTAAAAGCCCATAGATCCCATGGTAAAGAGGACGGTTTGAACCCATTCTTTGTCGGACTTAGTATGGCGTTCTTGGAACCTTTCTCTGCTAGCCTTCTTGACCTGGATGACATTCCTTTCAACATTGGCCACCACGAAAGCAAAGGGGACAAGCAAGGCACAACAACTGTAGTCACTGCCTTCTTTAATTCAAACGACAGACCCGTATTAGCGATCTCTCGTAATGCAATATTTAATTTCGAGCTTATCCTATACAATATGAAATAAAGAAAACGAAATGATAATTATGTGGCCTTTTTGTCTCTGCAGCCGCTACCCTTGGTACCGAGGCTTTCTGTGCCATCCGCAAGCTGCCCTAAGTGCTCGTATGTCAATGACGAGAGTTTTTGTTTCTGCCAGCGATGTGGGTATAAACGCAACAAGGCACAAAGAATAGACGTTACACAACCGAAAATAGGTATAGATCTAAACGAGATTGAGAAGAGAAGAAGAGAACTCAAGATTAAACAACAGTCAACACCTTACGTGAAACAAAAATCAGCTCTAGAGAAGGAATTAACAATATTTTTGTCTAATATGGTACCAAGGAGGGACATTACATCTGCGACCCCTGAAGATGTCGTCAATTTCTTGGTCTGGAAGGACAATTTTGGGAAAACAAAAGTACATCTAAACACATGCCTCTTTTTTGGGCATAAAGGGAAGACGGACTGCCCATGCCCAGCGCGTTTAGCTTTCGCGACGGTGGACTCGCTAATTGGTAAACTGCGCTCTATATTTTCAAACGCAGGGAGAGGTGGCGACGACTCATTTATTCCCGGATACGGAAATCCAGCGGCTTCGAGGTTGGTGAAGGATTATTTATCGGCGATAAGAGTGGAACAATTAGATGCTAGAACCTTGCCCTCCCAAGCGGATCCTTTCTTTATCTCGGACCTAGCGGCGGTGGCAACGTACATTGGCAGACGGGTCAATGAGCAAACGTTATCTTCGAGGGAACTGTACATCCTGACCAGGGATCAAGCTTTTTTCAAGACTCTATTTTTTGCGGGAGATAGGGCAGGGGATCTCGGCAAGGTCAAGACACAAGAAATGTTATATTTTCCACAAAATGTTATATGTCCTCACAAAGACTCTTCGTGACGGATCTTCGAATATGTTTGCATTGAAGCGTTACAAACGCGATCCATCAATATGCCCAGTCAAAGCCATTGAAGTCTATATAGCCGTGAGTGAGCTTCTGAATATTTCATTAAGGGATGGATATTTGTTTAGGCCATTGACACCAGGAGGAGAAGTGGCACCAACACCCTTGGATTCCTCGGCAGCCCAGAGCCGTTTGGCCACTTATGCGCGATTGATTCCTCAGACCTTCGGAGAACGCAGGGTTACTCTTCATGGATTAAGAAGTGGTTGCGCAATTTCCCTGGCCATGTCAGGTCTAGATTTAGAAACTATTATGAGTCACGTAGGATGGAAGACCCCTGGGACAGCACGTCATTACCTTAAGATGGAGCAAGTTATGAGGTCTGGGGGAGCAGGAGACTCTCTAGCAGAGCTGCCGTTCGACTTAGCTGAACTTTACAGGAAGCAAAATGAACTTACAGGTTTCACACGAGCATTTNTATGTTTGGTGGGTTAAACTCGAAAAACATTTTTTAGTGTCGATCATTTTTAAGGCCTAAATGTGCTTGAAATGCCTGCATTGGGCCTGCTGTGCAAAAATTTTGGAGCGATGCAGAAGTCTGGTAACTAACATTACATGACGTCACTGATTCCCGGAACTCGTCACCCAGAACAATTTTGTTTCCAGTCATTTTCCAGTAAAAAAAAAACAATCGCAATTCTTCAAGGATTTTGTGCTCGGCCAGTCAGCCATATTTCGAAAGTTGCGTAAATTAACCTCATTTTAATAAGTTAAAACTTTTAATAGAAGATTCAGAAACTTCAACGTGGACAAATTAACATTAACTCCAATTGAATTCTGTTAGAGTGCACGTCACATAAGCATGAAACAATTCTTAATATGTATTGCTAAATAAGATTTAGTTATCAACTAACTAAGAATTCAACATAGCATAAACACAATGCCAATTATTTAAATTCCATTGTTCTCAATTCTTAGTTAGTTGATAACTAAATCTTATTTAGCACTACATAGTTAAGAATTGTTTCATGCTTATGTGACTTGCACTCTATTCGATATCCCTAGTACCTTGTTCATGTTCATTGGTTAAGTAATTGTCAGCACATCGATAAAATAAAAGGAAATACTAGATCTCTTGATAAATGCGATTATGAATTGAAATATTTGATAATTTTCTAGTGTTTAGCACAGATAAAAAACTATTTTGAAATTTTCTAATGAATATCAAGAATTCATATTTTTGTGTATTTCTTTCTTTCATTTCAYAATCCACTTTATTAGATTTGTTATTATTATTATTTTTTGGTGTTCCGAGATGCTCCGGGGGTGTTCCGGGGTGACACCTWGTAAAAGCGTGGAAATACGTCGCCTTTTCTGGAGATAAAATGCAGGGTCATAAGTAGAAAGGAAAAACTTTTATCGCGTTCATAAACTTCTTATAGCTTTTAGAAATATTCGTTGGGATTTATGTTGGCTCTACCTGTGTAAAGTTTTCATTCATTTTAAACGCTGTTTATCATATATTTTTACCTTGAATGAAGCAACAACATAACACAATCAACAGCAACGCACGAGCACGCATTCTTACTGCGCCAAGTAATGATGCAATGATGACGTCACAATGGTCAATTAGCGGCTAGATCTAGCTGAACTTATAGGCTTCCCAGTCTTTAAAGAAATACGGAAGATGGGCTACCTGTGGCGACGATCTTGACGGCTTTTCACATGTAATCAAAATATCATTTTTAAACCGTATTTTTAACAACACAAATGTAATTTGTCTATTATTGTAGAAAGGTGTATACGTTGCGGGAATCGGGAGCAGATGATAAAAGAAGTCAAACATAGAATCGATTCTAGTTTACCCTTTATTGTATGCAATTATTTGAATCAGAATCGTGAACAGTACTCTTATAAGAACATTTATGATAAATCTACATTTATTTTTTCTTTGAGACATCCTCTTTGTACGCCACTTGAATCCCTGAACTCCGCAGTGAGTTCTRCATGAGCGTCTGTCTGAAAAGAAAAGAAAATCATGGTAAAAATCACTSTGGACCTCAGCAATGACAGTTTTGTAGATGCACACTGTAGCCTTCCTCCCACCTYCCCTGGCCTTCTCCTTATAATTCAAAAATATCAATTTGAGAAATGCCAACTTTTGAGCTATGATCTTGCCTAAAAACTTTGAGGTCAAATCATTTAGTACTATTACTGTGACTCGCATCCTTTTTAGGTAAAAGTTTAAGGAAAAAAAAAAAGAAATCCGAATGGGACTCATTCTTAAAAAAAGCAATTGAAACAGCATTTATGACTTCACTGATTAGACTCACCACATGGCCAAGGGATAATAAACCTTGAAATGTGCTTTTGATGTCTGGAATGTGTGTCAAGTTGGTTAGGATAGTAACAGTAGACTGCACAAGTGGACAAGAAAACTCGCTGTTGCTGTTCAAATCCAGTATGCCCTTTATTCCCTCACAAGTTACGTCAGACATATCACTGAAAATATAAATGCGGAATACGCAATGACTGAGATAGAGTAAAATACAAACACTAGTAGTGTGAAACCGAGAAAACATTTTGTAACTTTGGAATGATGGACTTCACAGTTATCAGGGGGGAGGGTTAAGTATCCAGAAAGTGGTGGGGGAAGAGGGGGCAACGTCCAAGTTAATTAAAAAAGGATTTGAAACCAATTGCAAAACTCAACAAACGTACGTATTAAACCTGTAAGATGATTTTATAACTTCATGATTTTGTGAGCAGTTAGACCTACTCTGGGACACAAAATCGCKGCTTAAAATCTCTCAAAATCACCCCGCCAACTCTGTCAAAGTCCATATTTAGAAGTTTTACTGAGGTTAGTATAATTTATCACTTTTCTACTGGAAAAACTCCTTTCGTTCATTGTCATATAATAAGCGTGACATACGTGCAGAATTTTGTTTAATTTCTTCTTTGATCAAAGTTGAATTTTAGTTTTCAGTTTCATTCAATGATTTTTCATTCCTTTCAAAAAATAAAGTATTTTGTTGGTAATCAAATTATTTCCTAGTTCAGATAGGTCTGCTGAATTCAGGGATCGCGGAGCGGGAATTTGTTTGGGGGGTCTAACGGCTGCCGAAGGCAGGAGTAGGGGGCTCGGGGTATTCTTCCCGGAAAAATTTGAAATCTTAACTCTCGGAGATGTCATTTCCAGCGTTTTGAGGCGTTTTCCAAGACATATTTCTGACCGCCAAAACCGCACACACGGTCACATAATATTCAATAAGATCCCAAAGACTTCGCAAAAAAGCTTCAATTTAAATTGTTTTTACACAATCTTTATATAATGAAAAGTGATCAATTTCACAAGGAAGGTCTTCGCTTCTTTATTTAAGAAAATTCAAAATGGCGGGATCGATCCGCGGTCTGTGAAATTATACAATCGAAGCATGCTTTGAAGGTTTGTATGAAAGCTTAGCTTATCCTGTCTTTCTCAATTTTCCCAAAATAGCTGGCTGGATCTTTCGGTTGCTTTTTAAATGTAAATGGCATTTCCAAAAAACAAGCGCGAGAAATGCTCTTTGTAGCGCTCGCAGCGAATTCCTTACGCATCTCTACGGAATGGCCTTATGCGGTAAACTTTGATCAAGACTGGGAAAGTATACAAGGTCATGCACTCAAAGACGGTTATAATAGAAACGGTGCACGTTAACATTAAACTTAACTTACCAGCTATATGGTTCTTTAACGATGCAATCAAATGCTGTATCCCATTGCATTGGCACTTGAATTATGCCCAAATCTATCCAGTATACGCCATAAGCATGCGCTTTCGATATGACTCTGAATGAATCAACATTAATCATTGAAGATTCGACGTCGACACTCGCCGCAAATCGGTACGACGAAGAGCCATCCACCTTGACCCCTGTATCTGTAACCTTATTACCATCAGAGTCATAAACGTCCACTACTGAACCAGTTGCTATTTTCAAACCAACTAAAAACAATAAGAACAATAGTAAATTAATTTTTCATTCGTGAAAGAAACTGCATGGAGATTTGCATGGTTTCACGGATRTGTATGTATATTTTTATTAGATGGCAAAGTGAAATAATAAAACCAAGAAACAGATAGAGTGATCGCACTTAAAAACGTGAAACTGTACAAACTAAATAGTGCTATTTAGTTGTAGTTAGAGTACAAACATTAAATGTGTGCAACACTTTCCACTATTTACTACGGCAAAATAGTGTTAATTAAACAATAGAAAACAATAGAATTAGCATAATTTAGCAGTATTTAGTGGTATTTATGTTGCACAGTTTTAGTGTTTGTACTCTAGTAAATCGTGCATGCGGTACGCAAATGAAATAGAATTGATACAAATAAAGCATTAATTCAATACCGTCTTGCTTCAGGTCCACTTTTAGTACAAGTTAGTACTGTTTTGGATTTTGTACAGTTGCATGGTTTAAGTGAGATCACTCTCCCATCATCCTAGGATAATCACTTACACGGAGTTGGACAATCAATGCCGCTAACGCTGGCACAAAACACTGCCGTCAATCCTATTACCGCAAGAATTGACATTTCGCACTACATAAGAAAGTGCAAAATATAGTAAGTTAGTAACTTATTCCAATTACCCACTACGTCACAGCATGTTTATTGGTGACAGACTTATCGGCATATTTTCTACATTTCTTCCTGAAAGTTGACAGAGTTAAATTTCAATGCTTCCTGACACAAATGAAATGAAGTTATTACACAAGTTGTGGGAGAGTTAACGAGTGTGAAAATACGTTAATTATCAGTTGTAAATTAGTTAGTCACAATTGAACTCATTGTTTAAACCTATGATGTTATTCTTTATCAGCATGATTATGGCAAATGAAGCATTGGCTGCTATTTGTCAGACTGATGTTAATATGCGATTTCAAGCTTTCTGACGATGCCGTGGACAGCGAAAGGCTTCATTTGATACTATCGCACTTAATCCGTGCAACTGTACAAACTAAATAGTGATGTTTAGTTGCATTGTCGTGCATGCGATACGCAAATTAAGTTGAAKTGGACAAATGAAGCATTCAATACCGTCTTGCTTCAGGTCCACTTTTAGTACAAATTATAGTACTACTTAGACAGTTGTTTTGTACAGTTGCACGGATTAAGTGCGTTAACTCTAGTGTATTGCTCTTTTTAACGAGCAAAGACCCAAAAATGAGAAAGAAAAAAATTAACACRAYAAGATCCCTTTGCCGTGCGTAAATGGCAATACAATTTCGAAATGAAGAGCAGTGTGTTTCGCAACAGTCTCTTGCGAAGAAAACACATTCATCAAACATTTTTCTGTCTCTATATATATATACATTCATCAAACATTTTTCTGTCACTATATATATATAAGTGGTATCGAATGCAGATTGACTAACTGTTCTTTTTGAACTGAATAGAAAGTATTTCTCACCTTTCTCAGGTTGATTGTTGCTGATGAAATCACGGGTGCTTAACTTCTACTCCGCCTTAAATAGAACCATTCATGACGCACAGTTGATGGATCATCACTCTTTTCAGACTTTTGAGTTGCTAAGAAACCTTGAATATCAATCCTTAATGTGGAAATAAAATGACTTGATAAAACTTAAGTAGGTAGAACAAGTCGTTCAGATAACATCATTACTTTCCATCTTAGCAATTGTAAGATTGTTTGGCTCTCGGTTAGAACAAAGCAATGGAATGTCGGGAGGGGGAAGGGGGGGAGGGGTTCCCATAGGATGGAAAATGGAACTGCTTGCCTTTCTTTTTAAGGGTGGAAACCAACGTCTTTTGGTCCTAATGGATAAAAATTCTTGGTCGTCATAAACTCTCCTAAGAATCTAGAAACCGTACCATGAGGTTTTTAATTGGTGAAATTTAATCTCTGCCACACCTATTACCGCAAGCCTAGTGTGATCAATTCTATCTTATTTTGCCTTAATCATAGAGAAAACGCAGGGAAACCATGAAATAAAATCAAACTAAATACTAACAAATACCGGCTATTTAGAGACAGTTTGTCAGTATCAATGAACCAGAGGACAATGAAGATGAATCCACATGGGACTATTTTTAATTCATCCAGTTCATTGCGTTCTGTTTCATTGATAATGACAATTTGTCTCTAAATAGCTGCTATTTGTTAGTATTTAGTTTGATTTTATTTCATGGTTTTCCTGCGTTTGCTCTAATATAAGTGCGTTGTTCCCCCTCCCTACGCCCGGTTATTAAACACTAATTGAAACACGCCTATACAGCCCAAGATTGCAAAGCTCTATCTTCTCRAACTGTCTTTCACACGCAAATCACTCTAGAATTTGGCATATTTAGTAATTTTAGTGCGCTCTTTTTTGTGATGACTCGTATATTTTGGATATGACTGTAAAATCGAGTACAATAAATCATCTCGGTAATCACTGCAGATCAAGATGACGTCTGAAGAGTGAGAACTTTTCGTCAGTGCTCAGTTGCTATGGGTAACATCCATTTGAAGTGCCCTTGGTCATAATTAATCGGTGCGTTGTAAATCTATTGGATTACTTGGAAAGACAGTCTCAYTTTTGCTTGCCGTTACCCATGGAAACGTSAGATCTCTTTCTGTCCGTTTATTTATTTTTGTTTGCTTATTTCTTGTTTGTTTTCTGATTATTTTATTGCTACAATGCCCCTGTATGACAGAGGAGGGTACGAAAATCCACAAGATAGGATATTTAGGTCTTATATTGGGAGATAAAGACTTAGCCTTGATTTATGAAAAAGTAAGACTTTTATGGAAATCAAATCATGGTTTTTCATGTAAAAATTGTATCCTTGAGATGTAGTTCACAAAAATAAATCAATAAAARACAACATTAGTCACAAACGAAACAACTTTTTGCGCAACGTCCCGCGTTCAATATAATTTTTTAGGACCGTGTTCACGTGTCGCAAGTTTTTGACTTGAAATTAATTAAATTTCGCAGCCTGTTGAATCAATTGTAGTTGAATCATTTTTTCCGTGTATCGTTGAACAAAACCGCAAATGCAACTGAAACAACGCCGGCGTTACAAAGGTTGATAATAAATTTCGCATTGACTACTTGTGAAGACCGCATTTACCCTTCTTGTAACCTGTCAAAGGTCATCAAGAGGCCTTTTATGACTAATAAATCATATCGCCAATACCGAATATTATGTCATTCCAATAGTATGGTTTCTTTGTTTACTGGTTACATTTCAAGGGGATACACTTGTCAATATAGAACACGTGAACGGCACGTGATCTGGAAAATGGTAWGCCCCACCCTATACACGTGCAACTAAACCGCGCGATCTAATTCCTGCAGTGTWTTTTATCGCTCTTTTTCGTGTAGTTTCTGGTGTATCATTGCGTGTTATTGCATCGTCAAGTGTTGAATAAATGATCAATACTGTAATGGCATAGTGTACACTTGATGAAATACTATGGTAACGATGTTTGTTACAAGTCCGTCATTGATAATGTCGTCATTAGAGAGATTTTTACGATCTTTATATTCTTCTCAGTTTATGTAATTCGTATCCCATGAATTATCAAAAAATCACTATTTAAAAAGAAATGTCTAGAATTAGTAGAACAATAATACAATAGAGTGGTTCTCATTAACCCGTGAAATACACTTTAGCGTATTACACTTTATTAAACTTTGTCTCTTTTGTTTTCAATCTATTATATTTCTTGGCTATTACACTTTATTACACTTTGACTATTACACTTTGTTTCACGGGTTAATGAGAACCACTCTAATAATAAATGTATAAAAATAATAAATAATATGTAAATACAAAAATAACAATAAAGAGTTTTTATTAGTTCTTTCAAATTCCTACGAGAAGTGAAATGCAGGAATGAGTTTTCAAATAGTAAGGACGATTTAAAAACCGCCGCGAGTCATAATTGACCTAAAGTACCGAAACTTTACAACTGCACAAATCTTATATGAAAATTACTCTTTGAATTATTATAGTTTTATTGTTTTGTAGAGTAATTTTCATTAAAGGGTAWTAGTCAAAGTGTAATGGCACCGAAAAGACAAAGGAAACCGCGCAAAATAAACAGTTACCGAACAGTAATAAAATCGCCATAGCGATCATATCGGCATTTTTTCAGAGTTCAATAGACCTTCATGAAGCTTTTAGATTATGTACTGTATACGCAATGCATTGTCGAATTTTACGTGTCGAAATATATATCCCAATCACCTCACTGTCATTAAGGTTAATAATTAAGTTCATTCTGAGGTAATAAGTGAAAGGAAGCGCAATAATATTGATTTTTTTTATTTTTTTCGCAGTCAATAATCAGATGATAATCCTATGACACGATATTTGATATATTACTTGCCAGAGGAAAATATACCACTGTAAAGACGTTTTTCTCASCATTGAACATTAGTTTAAACGCTAAACAGAATACAGGAATAACTCTTACACTACTTTCTTACTAAAACACAAATAGCATAAATGAATATTTACGATATTACTATGTTGTATGTAGCAAAACAACAACAAACAAACAAACAAAAACCTAGACTATACCTCAATCCTCATAAATCCAGTTACAAACATTAACCTTTATTTCATRGACACTGACATGTATTATTAGAATCATACAGGAAAAAGAAATTTTAAAAATCTTTATGTTTACTGTCAGCAATATTCTTARGGATTAAATATAAAGGTATGTTCTATTAAGAAATTACGGTAATCATCCCTGGTGCCATATTGTWAGGGAACTATGCTTTGCATCAAAGGTGAGACAGCAGCTGAGCTTACAATGATAGATATAATGAGCGTTAGTCTTCTTCATGGTTCCCTGCACCATCTATAAAAGGTTGCTTTGAATAGTATCAAAGTGAAATGACTGCTGAGTGGCCAGTGATAGATACCCGTGAATAATTCTTTGTATTTGTGAACAAAGGTTTCTATCACTGCACAGCRAAATTTAAAAAAAATGTAAAAGAAAAAAATCCTAGAAAAGAGGAGGAAAACCTCAACGGTCATCTMACTTTGGTGTAAAGGCAAAGCTATGTTTCAAGATGGCTCTGGAAACATGAAGGAGACTATTGTATGGCTCTTTCAGGACACCAATCTATGCACCATCCACGCCAAACTAAAGTCAATACTTCATTACACATAAAACTACCAGGTTACAAACAGGTGCGAGAAAATGTATCTCCATGTATAAGTGTGTGCTAAACCCTCAACTTTCTTCAATACATTAGCATTACTACTTTTRAAGATGGCACTGGGGATGGTATTATAACCAGGAGTATTCTAYATTTTGCATGGTCTGTATATCAGGATGGTATGTTCTGTGGACTTGAGATCTGCAGTGAATCGAGTAGTCCTCCAAGAGCTAACATACTGTCATTTTCTTCCCTAACTGACTGATATCTCGACATAATTTGTGACCCTGCCCATGATGCATACTTGGAATTCTCTCTCTTGCCCTTGGCATCTTTGCAATGACACGACAGATGTGTTGCAGCCATAAAGAACCCATACAACGCCCTCATGTTATCATTATCAAGCTTGAGTGCCTGTGCAAAATATTTCCKTGCCTTCTCCATGTTATCTAGATCACCTATYGTGTACAGGATTTCAGCAAAGCGTTGGTGATAGAGATGGTTGTGYGGATTTGCCAGAATCAACTCCTCCATGCAGAACTTGGCTTTACGAAGCTCTTGTTGAGAGATGTAAAGGTCAATCAATTCCATCCAAGCCTCTTGATCGCTCATGAACTTTTTAATGTATTCATTGAGCTCCTTGATGGCGTCGGGWACCTTRTTTTGWGAYTTYAAGATTGCAATTTTTCGCTTGTAAGCYGACGAATTCGCAGGCTCAAGCTCCAATATTTTATCATACATCTTWARAGCATCTTCAAACCTTCCTAGTGCCTCTAGTCTCATCCCTTTTAACCGCTTCACTCGTATGCTATTCGGAAACTGAGTGTTCAGTTCTTTGAGACACATGGTGGCGAGGTCAAGTTTTCCACAGTCAAGGGAAGCGAGAAATACTTGTTCATAGATGGTCCAAAGTTCATCTCCAAGTTTGTTACCATGTTCTAAAAGTAAACACTCACCGAATTCCACGACTTCTTCGCTATTTCGTAGTGGTTCGTCTCGCCATTGTTTCATCTTTTGTCGCGCAACTTCAAGATCAACCACTTCGTCCGCCATTTTGAATTTGTAGCTGAAGTACGCATGCCCAACAAATGACGTAGCTTGTTTCCAGTTTACCTGCCGTGAAAAGGGAAAAAAAACAATAAATAAACAAAAAACATGTATCAATCTTTTAGATATTAGTCTACAAAAGTCACAAAAGGTTAATTAGAAAGAAGTTTTTACATTGTAAAACGAAATTTATGTTTAAGTTTGATTATCTCAATGTCGAGAAGGACTGCGCACTAGTGAACAAACCGGAAGTAGGGAATTCAAGATGGCGGACTGTTGTATCTAGATTGAGTCTTCGTTCTTGTCATCGCTTTCTTGCTTGTTCTAGTCAAAATGAACGTGGTTTTAGCCGTCAAGCAATATGTATCGAAGATGATAGAGGACGCTGGTCCTGGTATGAAAGTTTTGTTGATGGACAAGGAGACTGTAAGTAMAAGAAGGAAGTTTGATTTAAGTTAAGCTTATTTTATCGTCAAAATTATGAAATTCCATCAGAAAAAGCTAAGATATTAACGCTCTTCCATCAGACTGGCATTGTGAGTATGGTATATTCCCAAAGCGAGGTTCTACAAAAAGAAGTTTACTTRTTTGAGAAGATTGATGCACAGGGAAGAGAAACGATGAAACATCTGAAAGCAATCTGTTTCTTGCGTCCTACCAGGGTAAATTGTTTGACAAATTAAGCCTATCCTCTTTTTTACTTATATTCAGCCATGTTTGAATATCATAAATATCAAGGATCTTTACTTTGTTTGTAGGATAACATAGATCATTTATGCAGTGAGCTGAAATCCCCTAAATATGGAGTATACTAC